ATAGAAATACTGTATCAGTTTTATTGCATATTGAATATTATGCTCTATCCCCCCCTCTCCCCCACCCCGGGGGGCTTCTCTCCTTCTTCTTTTTTGTACAAGTAGATTTCTAGTACATATGATATGAATATGTTATGAAGTTCTCTTTTCTCTCTCTCTCTACGTGCACGCACACACCCGCTTCTTTGTCCTTTGAGATACTTGCTTTCTTAGACAGATGGTAGAGTAACTAGAGTTGAATTATAGTTAGAATCAGCATCATCAGAATTATATGCCATCTCCTGGTTCTGCTGCTGCTGAGGATGGAAGGTGGATGTCCCACCTGTGTGTCGTGCACAGGAATTGTATACTGTAATTTTCATCTTATTCTACGTAAGGGAAAGGATTAATAGGCTGTTTCCCAGCACAGAATGTTCACATTGTTTCTGTCCATTTTATGAAAAGATAATAAATTCAATTTATTAACTTTTCATGGCCTCAAACATGGGCAATCCTAGTCTATCATGCACAAAGAAAAGGAATAAACTGATGCCTTTCGGCATTGGAATGGTAATAGAGATAGTTATGTATAGAAGTTAACAAATGATCATTCCAATGTTAGAAGTTAACATATGATCATTCCAAAGTTACCATATCTGTATGGAGTATCTTTATTCTGTATGGAGTATCTTTACACCTAAAACAGGAATATTCTGAAAATTTTAGAAATCAGATAATATGGAAATTGGTTTCTAGTTCTGATGATGGAGATGCTGGGAAGATACGGAAGAAAACCATGGAACTTACTGACAAGGATCTTTTGCCTATTACAACCCTTAGCTTGCTTTAACTTGTCAGACTAGGACATTGATACCTTGTCAAACTACATGAGTCTGAGAAAGAACAATTCTTGTTTAACCATGAGGCCCTTGGGTTTATATTCAAATGATCTAAGGAAACTAGATTTCAGTGTGCGAGCTGGAACTGCCATAGCTTATGGCTAGAGCAAGGGGAGGGGACCCCACCACAGCAAAGAGAACAGTCAGGATAACGAGCACTCCACCTGCAAAGTGGCTGGCAGGAGCTGCAGGCAAGTGCTTGGTAGGTCAACAGCCCAGTGAATCGACTATACCTTCGACTGGTCATATATCTAGCACTATGAGATCTAAACCTTTGGGAATGATGTCTCATGCCATGAATATTCCGTCTGTGTTTTTAAACTGCATGCTTTGTGCCTATGCCTTCATGACAAGACTTTACATCTTTATGTAGTTCCTCACTCAGGCTGCTGATGATGTCCATGCGGTCAATTTATATGCTGTCATATGAGTAGCTAAAGCATAGGTCATGGTTGATGCTTTTTGCATCAGAGAATGACCCCAACCCCAAGGACACAATTATGCTCTTGCTCTCTCTCTCTCTGTCTCTCTCTCTCTGTATGTGCGAGTATGTGTTTATGTGCATACCCATATACGTATTTCTGTATGTCAGCATATGTGTGCATGTATGTAGCTGTACTCCCTGTTGATTATGGATTCTTATGCTTTCTTTCAAGGCAATAATCAATGCTAACATTGATGGTAGTATAATTGAGACTGTTATGTAGTTTTTTGATGTTTGTTTACTTGTTTTTACATGTAATTCCCCCATGCTCATTATAGAACTAATACAAATTCAGCCCCTGAGGAGGACTGGAACAAATTACTGTTTGGCGGACTAACACTGGGAAAAGGAGAAGTTACTGCCGAGGAGTTTTATGCTGTCGTCCTGAAGCGTATTGAAAGGACTCTAATCAGGACTGTATGATTATTTCAAACTTTTGCCTGATTCTTTTTAGAGAGCTCATCATGTTGCTGAAGACAATAATATATCAGGACTTGCATAGAATGCCTATGCAATAGTTCCGAAACTTGAAACCTTAAAATGTAGAATTAAAAATGCACCTCAAAAATTGCAACCTTAAAATGTAGAATTAAAAATGCACCTCAAAAATCCATCGGAAAAGGTTAGTTTAATATTAAAACCCTCTAATTGATCATCTCGACATCAAGATATATGAATATGAAAAAAAAGAGACTTTGAGTCCCAAAAATAGTGCATTTTGCAACACATTATCTAGACCATCCATTTCCAAGATTTCCATATGTTTATAGATCTACTTGATTTTGGCCTTTTTGGAGTTTAAAATTTATAATTAGATATAAAAATAGATGTTCAGATAATTCTAAGAATCTCTTACACCAAAATTACATGTTATGAAATTTTTTGGAGGTGCACCTTAATTGGATTGTTTAAGGTTGCAACCTTATAGAAACCACGCCCTTTAAATAATGGGCACAAATCTTATCAGGAGAAATAGTTAGGTTTCCGAAATATGGAACAAGGTTGGGGAGGAAAATGCATCTGGTTCATGCATTTGCTTAAATGCGGTTTCCATTTTATGATAAAGAAAAGTGAATTAGTTTACCCTTCAGTAAAATCTAGTCCTGTCTTTAAAACGTGAAATAGGCAAGGATATTGTACTAAACTACTCTTGCTTCTCCTGTATTGTAATCAAGATTGGGGGTAAAATTTCTCAATAAAATTTGACTGTCCAAGTACCATCCTGATGTTACTTAAGCTTTTAAACCGCCTGCATGACCAAGCTGTTTTTCCCATGTATTATCATGATATTTACCTTGATTATATGCATTATTTGATTGCATATACGCTTCAGGAAGGGGGATCTTATCAGCAACGAGTTTTGACGGAGTACCTGAAAGGTATACAGTCAAGAACAGAAGACATTGTCCAAGCTTTTCAAGGACCAAATTCTTGATGTCATATGGCTGAAAGATCCAGGACAATTAAGCAAGGAGAGCAGAACAAAATGAAGTTGCAGTTCCTCCAATATGCAGGGCTTCTTTCGTTGGGTTATGGATTTATGTCAAAGGTGTGATTATTGTTAAGCCTGACTGAGTTAAAATGACTTATTTGCTTTAGAGTTTGATCTCCAGTAAGAATGATTTTTTAAAATGGAAGGTACCTATCCTGCCATTATATGTGTAATATATGATTTTGGGTTTGAACTTGGGGCAAAGTTGTTAATGAACAACTGCTGGAAAGAAGATAAGCCCTTCATGAGTCGAAAACTGGACGTGGATGCCAGACTCACGGTACATATCCTAAACCTTGATATAGTTCTCAACTTATAATTACTTAATAACCAGAATGCATGTCATGGGGCACATATTTTTTATTTTTTATTGGGAAAATCAGTGAGGGAGAAGGCCCTCTACCATTTTTTCATTAATAATACTATTTTACAACCCTATGATAGGGTAATTGCGCTACATCATGAAGTAAAGGAAGGTTACGAGAATCTGGAGGCTTGGAGCATCAAATGGTGGCTTTTGTAAAAACTGTAGCTTTTTTAGCAAGAACATCAGTCATCATATTAGCCTTACGATAAACATGACAAATACCATGATTGATTCTGAAGTTTAAACTTACAACTAGCAGTTATAGTATAAAGAGCTCAAGAAGCTTTACACCTGCCATGAATGACCTGGACAAATAAAGAAGAATCGCTCTTAATTTGTAGGGAAAAGCAGTCCATTTGAAAGGTTAAATCAACACTATCTTGTAAGCTTTGAAATTTAGGGAATTATTGGAAGTAATTCCAAGAAGAACCAAAAAAGTAGCAACGAAATACCTATCATCCTGTTTGATGATGCTTCCACAACCAGTTTAACCTGAATTCTAAATAGAAAATCCATCAACATGCTAGCACATATTGTTGATGCTTCCACAACCAGTTTAACCTGAATTCTAAATAGAAAATCCATCAACAAGCTAGCACATATTGTTGATAGAACACTTAACTCTATTCCCAGAAGACAGGCTCTTTTGTGCTGGTTCTTTGTGGTGTTTGATACAAGGGAAAGCATACTATGCACAATGTGTATGCTGTAAACATGTAAAACACACTGGAAAGGCGTCCCCATTTCCTTCTAAAGATGAACAGTGGAGAAGAACCTAATGCCCTGCACCGCAGTACCGTCCTTGAAAGAACAAATAATGGCTGGCCTGCCTGTGTATCTTCTAGTGAATATGACATTTTTCCAAATGTTAAAAAATTGATTGAGAAGAGATTGGGGTTTGTAATATCAAGGAAAAAGTTTATGTAAGGCATTAACTTTGTTCTGTAGAAGTGAGGCACACTTCAAAAGCCCCTCGAAAAAAGTTTTCTTTTTTATTTATATTTTATTTATTATTATTATTATTTTTTTATTTTATGCTGGAAAACCTTCATATTGATCATCTTGAAATCGAGGTATGAGTATGATAAAAAAAAAAGATATTCAGTTTTTGACTTGGATTGGTCCTGGCCCGAGCTGATTATTCAGGCCGAGTCTAAGTAACTCGGCCGATTAGTCGAGTACTATAGTGGCAAAAAAAAGGTTAAAAATATATAAAAATTAAAAAAAATAGAAAATGTATGTTTAAAGTAAGATTAAGCAAAACGTAAAAAAGTAGCAAAAAAAAAAAAATTAAAGTCAACTTGTGATTTGGGGTAGTTTTGAAATAACCCAAAAATGAAAAAAATATAAAAATAAGTATTTATCAACAAAATATAAAAAAAAATATCTCAAATAAATTTCTCATTTTTTTATATATTTATTTTTTTGTAATTTTTTAATATATCCGAGTTGGACACCCAACTCGGGACAACTCAGGCTCCGCACCGGCACGAGCTCTCCTAGCTCGGCGGAGTAGAAACTACTTGGCCGATTTTGCAAATACTGGTTGAAAGATGCAAACTTTTATGATAACTTGAAAATAGATATATTTTCTCTTAATTATAAAATTAAATACTTAAAAAATGTCGTAGATTTAAATACTTAGAAATTCTAGTTCATACTCTAGGAATCTGCTATGAAATGTACTATGTTTAATCGTTGATATTTTTTCTTTTATATTCATATATCACATGAATATTTGGAGGGTCTTCTAAATCAGAACACCTTTCGTATGGATCAACGAAAAAGTTTAAATAAGGTTTACTCTTTATATAAAACCTAAACCACGGTGCTTACTTCTAAAACATTTTAGAATTTCATCGTTCTAAAGTTGAATATATCATCCTATTACGGGCTTGCTGACTTCGCAACCATCAGTCTTCTAAAAAATGTTTTAAAGAACACAAGAAAGGATACTAAAACGAAAAAAAAATTACAAAAAGGATTTTACGAGTGAATTATTTTTTTACAGGATGCTTTTTCCCATAATTTCTAAATAAAAATGTAACTAATTATCAAGTGAATAAAAAACCACAATTATTCCTCATACACGATTTTATTCATCTAAACGAAAGGGCAATGGACACTATCATTGAAAAAAAGGGTAAATCATAGACACCCCTGCACCCTACTTTTTAGCCCCCCACCCCCCAACAAAAGAAGAAGAAAATTTTTCAACCATATCACTAGCGCTAATATCTTTTTTTGTATCCGTCCTTCAAGTAACTTTTTTATGACAAAAAATGCCTCCTTTTAAACAACATTTTTTTCATTTTTTTGTCCCTATCAAAACAAGTGGCACAATATATGGTGGATCAGCTCCTAGTCCCTATAACATGCCGAATCAGCTTCAATAGGAATAAGAAGACGTATTATATGACTATATGCCGGTCTGACTTCAATAGAAACCAGAAGCCGGTCCGGCACACAGTACACCATGCCAACTTCATTGTATAAAATCTAGAGAAACGTAGGTTTTAAAGAGGGAATTTTTGTTATAACTAAATAGGTTTTACTAGAGGGGTGGATGAAAAAAAAAGAAAATACAATGTTGGTGTTACTGATGTGGTTTAAAGGAGAGACATGCCTGTAAAGTTGAGTGGGCCATCTATAATTTTCCTTAGAAAATAAAGGGCCTATCTATAATTTTCCCTGGAAAATAAAGGGCCAACGTCCTTTAACCGCCCTTTTGAATATCATAACAAGCTCTCAATTTAATAGACCAAACAAGTTTTGACATTGATGAGCTCAACTCAATTCTTCACTATTTACTGTACGCCACTTTATCAAATGGAAAAATATTTTATGAGACCATTTATCTTTAGTACATTGGAGTCACAATTGATTTTGACCATTAGATGTGAAATTAGATGGCAGCATTATTTCATTGACTAAGCTCAAACTTTGAAAGAAATTTTCTCAAACTTTGTGACACAGCCAACTTATTAAATTTCATTAGTAATTGTGACCGCCTTGCATCAAAGGAAAATTATCAAATTTTATTGGTTCTTTTCTAGGCTCATTGGCTCAATCCGATCAAATGCCAAAAGTCCCTTCAATCCACGATATAGTTAGCAAGTGGGGGAATAATAAAATATCGGTAGACCAAAACATCGGTAATAAATCAGTTCTATTTAAAATCAGAGGAAAAAATTGAGTAAAAAAATACGGATCGCCAAAAAATAAGTTGAGTTATAGAATTGTGAATATTTCAGATTTGGTTAAAAAAAAAGTACTGAAAAAAAATCAGATATATAACGGTAACACAGTATAGGATTATGATTTGCAACTATTGTATAGATATATTAAAGCCATTAAACAATAATTTTATAGCTTCACTAGTGTTTATTAGAGTAATAATTGACAATTCTTTGTTGAAACTTTAAATAAATTTAGCAACAATGCTTACTCTATTGTCACAATACAAAACATATCATAGATTTATTGGGACAATAGAATAAGACAACAACAACAATATTGAACACAATAACTTATTAGTAAATAACAAGAACTATGAACCAAGGTATAAGATTATTTTTCAAAGAAAAAAACAAAAAAAATCCCTCAATATAGGATTTCAGCTAATTAAAACTAAATGGAAAGACCCAAATATGTAAAGTAGTGGTCCATCCAAAATGCTATGTTGTATACACCAATGAAGTAAGAATTAGAAAATAAAAACAAAAAAATAAAAAATAAAAATAATTAAACTTCATAAAAAAAAACAATTTGCTTACGCAAATTCGAATATCGCACTAAATTCCAAGCTAGTTAAATATGGGTGCGGTTTGTTTAGAGCCTAGGCTCTAAACAATCAAATTAAATAGTGTAAGAAATGTGGTTTCAATACTGGAAATCTTTGTGATAGCCTTAATATATATTTTTATATTTATTTATAAATTTTAAAGCTTGAAAAATAGTGTAGATCAACTGATCTATGAAAACTTGAAAATCTTGAAAATTGACGGTCCAAAAATAAGTTACAAAATATACTATTTTCAAAACTTGAAGTCCATTTTTTTTTCATGTCCATGCATCTTAATGTTGAGATGATCAATTTGAAGATATATAAGCATCGAAACGACCTCTTCTAGTGAAAAATTTGATTGTTTAGAGCCTCAACTCTATATAAACTTTTCCCTTTAAATATTTAGTACCATTGAGTCTCTCTCCTGCTCTTTATAAAGATGCTATGCGTTTAACGGAATTTTTTTTTTTTGGATTACTATTCTTTTAATTTTACTTATTATTTTGAGATATATGGTTGTTTTGATTTTTTTAAGGGAATATATTACTGTATTTTTTCATACACTTTTTTTAAATAGAATTTATTGGTGAAATTTTTGATGGAATTTATTGTTAAATCAAGATTCTTAATTTACTCCCACTATTAATGTACTTATCTTTAAACCAAAATTCAATAATATTAAGTTAATGAATAAATAAAGTTATAAAGAGGAGGATTTTTTAAATAAATTTTTTTTTGAAATGAGATAGAATAAGGATTTACATAAGTTCTATTAAAAAAATACAATTATTTAAAAATCTTTTAAAAACTCAAAGATTTAAAAACATCGAAGACTTTTTTAAAGAATCGTGTTTTAATGGAAGACGCCAGTCCTCCGGGTAAGAAGCCAAAACCAAAAAAATATCAAAGACTGAGACATCAAGCCTTCTCCTCCCCTCTTATATGCTCAAAATCAATATCATAAAACCGGGTAGTCGCTGCCTCGGTGGTAATGGGGGCAATAAGGAGCCGAGCTTCTTCAATTTCCGCCGCTTTTTAGCCATGGAGAAAGGCCAACAAGAAGAGCCGAATAATCAGAAAGAGGAAGAGAGTAAAAAGGAAGAGGAGGTGATGGTGGTTCCTCCTCCTCCTCCACCGCCTGAGAAGCCTCTGCCTGGAGACTGCTGCGGTAGCGGCTGTGAGCGGTGCATTTGGGACATTTACTATGAAGACCTTGAAGCCTATAACGAGCGCTATCCCTCCTAGAAACCCTAACCCTAATTCTCTCTTTCCCCTTGATTTGAGTGTATCAATTATGTTTTCTTTTTGTTTTGATCCATTTTATGTGGGGATTCAATTGGACCCTTGATCCTGTTATTGTGTTATTCATTTTGATCTGTGTAGGAGGCACTATATTTGGATATCTTCTTCGGAGAATTCTTTTGAATGTGTTCTTCGGAATTATTGTGGGATCCGGTGGGGTGGGTTCTTTTCCTTCACCTTCTCAATTATTAAAAAAATATTTTCGCATTTTTAATTCTCATTCGATTCAATTATGACTTCTACAACAGTTTTTTCTGTTCTATCATCGCTATTAACACAATTGCAACAATGGCAAGCTGCAATCCCTATTAACACAATTGAAATAACACAATGGCAAGCTGCAACCAATTCTTCCATTGTGTGCTTGTCCTCACCCGCGAATAATTCCTGCTTCCGCAGAAACGGACACAGGTCTATTTGTGATGCGGATACGGATGTCGAAACTTGAACGGCAAAAGTTGCGCCTCTGTGCCATATACTGATGTATATATAAAGAAGTTTATATATACGGTTGCAACCTTAAATTGTAGAATTACATGTGCACCCCAAAAAGCCATTGAAAAAAATTGTTTTAATGTTGAAAAATCCTCTAATTAATCATTTCGACGAATACGAAGAAAGAAAGATTTTGATTCCCAGTGCATCTGGCAACACGTTATCTAGACCATTCATTTTCAAGATTTTGATATGTTTATAGGCTTATTTGATTTTAACTATTTTTGGAGTTTAAAATTTTAAAATTATATATGAACATAAATTTTATGGTAATCCTAAAAATCTTTTACACCAAAATTACATGTTATAATAGAATTTGGAGGTGCACCTTAATTGGATTGTTGCAACCTTATAG